TTAATTTTTTAATCTAATATAATTATTTTTTGGTTATTTCTGTTATATTATTGTAGTCGCATCCGTTAATCGGCCATTCTCACTATCGTGGAATTGCGGTGAAGCTTCGTTTCTTATTCCCTGTTTCTCCTGCATTCACTTTTTCTTGCTCAGATATAATCCTTGTTTCACTTTACAGATGATGGACTCCAGGACAAAATTCAATGAAGGCACCAGAAAAATATGTGTTTCAGAAAACACCTATAAAATTCGGAGATAATCCTTTAATTGAGACCACAAAAATAAATTTTGCAGAGGACATTTTTGTAGAATACTGTGCTACTGTATAGACAAGATCACTGCAGAGTCCATATGTATAAAATACTGTACTTCTTCTGCTGTTGGCTGCTGTGAGAAATATATAGTATTTTCTGATTTTTATAGCCATTTCAATTTCTTCTGAGAGAGATTTTAGATGGAATAAGCAGGAATTATATTATTTATAACCAGCAGTGGGATTGGTATTGCAGAACACGTAGCCAATGTCAGAAAATTGGGTGTTTTCAAATCAGAAGATCATTAATTTTGTTCTCCTGCATATATTATACATCCATGCAACAGTTACACTTATTATGATGGATTGTTCATAATTAACTTATTGTGTCAGCAGGTGCGTTGAAATGAAATTATTTTGATAGGTACTTTTCTGTTATGAATTACTTTAGGCCATTTATTGAGAGCCTGATGAGCAAGAATTAAAGACAACTTATACATTTATTTTGAGAAAACCATTAAAATTCAGTCGCTTTAGGCAGCGCGTACTTCGTCATTTACTCATTATTTAACTTGGAGCAATAATCATCAAATTCAGACACACCGACATATGTCAAGATCAAAATACCTATAATTGTGCAATGTAGCATGGACGTTAAATTGTCTATAATATTGCTTAGAAAATTGAAAAAATGCATATGTAGCAAGTAAACCTTATTACTACCGTGGGAGATTGACATTTTGGAAATTCAACAGGAGATTCTTATTTTAATTATGACATTCAAGAAAATCGTTAGAATTTTTGGATATACTGTATAGTACTGTACTGTACATGAAATACGCATTCCTGTCTACATTATTCTATCTACTGCTGTTGTCAGCACAAAGTGATTTCCAAGAAATTTGAGAACCTTTGCTTTTGATGTGCGCGTGAAAATTTTATGCAAAATGGAATTAAAATTGAATAAAAATAATCCGTTTCTTCTTTCCTTTGCCTAAGAATGGCTGGAGTGGGTGGATACCGGTGCACTCGTTAATTTTCGACCATTCTTTGAATGACATTTTGGGGATAGATTTTTAAGGGACACGTCCGTCTAAAGTGAAGGGAATAAAGGAAAGGCGAGGCGTGGAACTGATTTGATTTGTCCAATTTTTCTGGTCTCCGGATAAAGCGGCGACACCTAGGATTTAAAAGAAAAAATAAGGGATATATTCTTGATTACACGTCTGATTTCTTGCTCCAGTGTACTTCATACCTTACAAAATATCAAAATACTGCAATTGTATTCGTAGGGAAACAAAGGGATGAGAACTCATCAATGTTTTAGCTGAAAATATGAAGATTCTATGGTCTGTCCCAACTGCAGTCAATCTTACCATTTGCTGCAAATATAACTAAATAACGCATGGAAATTAGAAAAAAATTGAGTTGAAAGCATTCAGATCTTTGCAATGAAAGCACTTTTATTTCCCACACAACTGAGAAACTGACCAATATACAAGAAACTTGCTTCTAAATGGAATTCACAAGTGATGCATATCTCTGTACAACTACAGATGAGGTTGTGGAATTCCAAAATACCAACATATTTTGAGAATTTGTTGGCTCCAAGACACACAATTGATGCACTCATTAAGAAGATGCAAAATTCTTGAATGAATAGTTTTCCACCCTCAGTTAATGACCCTTCTTATTCAGAAAATTATAATCGGAAGTACAAATAATTTCACACAAAGCACTTCCTCGGTCTTAAGAAGCCTGCTTAGACGAATCATCCACTGATCCATCCCTGGAAATCTCAATCCTTTTGGGTTCGCTTCTCGCCCTGGGGGCTTCAATCCTCAGCGTTTGCCCGTCATTCTCCAAACAGGAGCTGAGTTTCTCAACGTCCACGTCGTCCGGTACGGTAAGTTCTTGGTACACCTCGCGACGCCATTTCATTCCATTGCGCTCTTCCTCAACTTTGGCGTCGATGGTCAACACACGGCTCTTGAGCGACACCTTAACATTTTCTGGTGGGATATCCGTTATGTCCACTTCGATGCAGAATTCTCCATCGTCGTCGCCACGGCGTGACACGCCCATCTTTTTCCGGAGGCTGTCGGAATTAGAATTCGTCCAACTAAATAATAATCAAGAGGTATGAAATATTGCATGGTGCAAATCTCACGGCCCAACCTGTCGAAAAATTGGTACAGTGGTGCTTTGCCTGTTCCCCCACGCATGCAAACTAATGTGGAACTTTAAAAAATCACTAACGGCTTTTTCACAATTGTTCTTCATCATTATAAGGCAAGACAAAGTCTGCTGAGAAAATCGTTTTTCTTTATATCTTGCATGGATTTTGTTAGGCAGGTATTTCTAAGACAAGGCACCGTTGTACCTATATTTATGTACAGTAGATACATTTTAGATCCTTGTTGCAATGAATACTTCATTCTGCCCCTAATCATTTCAGGGCAAAAAATGAGTTTATTCGAGTAAAAGAGCCAGTACATAAAAAAAATCGAGTTTTTGTTTTGTTTGGTACTTCTGGAGCGCTTAAGGAATTTCTGGTTTAACTTAGAGGTTGTCTTAGGTACAGGAAGGTAAAGGTTAAAACAACTCGGTTTGTGTATGTATGTTAGAACATTTACAGAGCCCCTTTTATAATATGCAGCAGATGCAAATGATGTACACTCCAGATCAGAAACGTTTCCCACATTGCTGTATGCTTCTATAATAAAACTATTTAAATTTTTTGAGCAATTCCCACACATTGTTTGTTATATATATATATATATATATATATATAAAAGAGCGATGTGAATTGTTTGTGATCTTGCGTGCTCAGAATTAATTTTAATGCACACCACACAACCCTCAAAGCACTCCAGATTTTGACGGAATCCCACCTCATCATTAAATAAACATGCAGCACACCTCATTTTTGGCAAATTGAAAAAGACTTTTTTAAATGACACCAGAATTCAATAAATATGAACATGGATTCAACCTGAAAACAATTACTTTCGAATTGTTCTGATTAAAATAGTTCCTTTCAAAAGTTTCATACTGTACATTGTACTGTATTACGCTGCTCCGTATATTTTGCTTCCGTGAGGATCACCGCGCGTACACCGCAAGCATGTATCAAAATGCGCAACATATATGCAACTGAAAACTTCTATGGAAAAATATAAAATTGCTGCTGTACTTACTCGCCACTAAATACGTTGGATATGCTGGAAGGTATCATGGAATTCACGGAAGGCAATTTCGAGTGCTTCATCATGCTTTCAAAGTGATGCGCCTGCTCTTCAAGTTGTTGGATCATAGATCGCATGTCGGTGAACGGATCCTTTCGCCAAAACGACATGGCTCTGCAACTTGGAACCAATTTAGCGACACGCGCCGAACTTCTCATTACACTGAGCAACATCTTCGCCTCTGTATATACTGATGCTTCGAGCACGACTAAACAAATGAAAGTTTATTTTAATTTTAGCAGCAGCAGCTGAAAGCGAAAGAAGTACGATCACGAACTTTAATCACGTCGATCGGAATCTACAAATTAATTTCACTCTGACGATGCGGACGAACCTCTCGAAGGAAGTCTCGGGGGTTACACGCTAAACTTTCCAACCTTCGTCTCACACGGTTTCACAATACTGTACGTCCCGCTAACCTCGCAAGAATTGCGCGAATTTACATACATGGTGAAATTGTAAGAAATTTCTGGATGTTTCTCGGAGCGAGATGCGACATCTTGCTAGTATGTTCGAGAATGTAGTACAGTACTCTTATCCTGGCAACCCTCAGGATTTCGGTCAACATCCCAACGAATCTGGAAACTCATGCATTAAGATATATGATATGAATTCTAGGAATACTTTTTTTTTCTAAGGAGCATTTTCAAAATAGGCGTTGTCGTTTTCGAAGTTCGACGAAAATGTCCACAGTTGAGGTAGCCACCACGAGTAAGGCTTGGTCCTATCTCCTGCGCGCGGTCCGACTAATCGCGGACAAGTTTGCTGACCGCGTTGTTACAGCGGTAAATTGTGGGTACCGTATTTACTCGGAAACATGTGCTTCTCCCACTTGAATTGAACAAGAAACATCACAGTACGTTTAATTTCGAATGTCGTATTACATTTCTTGGTAACACATGTCTGTAATGTGATGACGTTGACTGACCTAACGGCAACCCTGACTCCTGGAATTTTCGGTTCGAGAGTTCGTGTGTTAAAATCATATCATCTGTAGAAATTCAAATACTATAGTTCGGGTTCAGTACGTGGAATTCCGACTGTCGTAATACATTTCTTGGTAACGAACGTTTGTTGGCGATAACGTTGATTGACCTAACGGAAATCCTGACTCCTGAAATTTTTGGTTCAAGGGTTCGTGTGTTAGAATCCTATCATCTTTAGAAATTCTTCGATTAGTTTGGGTTGGTGACTGATTTCGTGAGCCGCTTGGAATATAGCGGCTCTTCTGTTTGTCAAGGCCATGATAGCTTTGAAATTGTGCCTTCAATCTCAGTCGATCGAAATCTTGGGAGTCACCTACTTAGAGAACTAAGATAAAGATCTGAATTGAAAATCGTATTGGATCGTTTTCGAGTAAATACGGTGTGTGTGATTCATGTCATTCAATTTGCAATGTTTCCAGTTGTGCGGAAGTAAGAATTCGCCTGAAGCTGCATTTGGTTCTGGAACTGATACCGTAGTGCTTATGCTTTTGGTTCACTGATGCGTCTCTCGGATTGAGTGTTGGAAGAAAGGCTTAATTTTCTCGTCGGTTGGAACGTAATAAAAAAACTCGAGGAATCATCTCACAGTTGAAGCCGGTTGAGAGCGAGAAGAGGTAATTGGAAGTGTGGATCCTGATTGTGCATGGATTCTTCGAAAGGCTCAGTAAATGCGGGTTCTTCCTTACGTAACTTCCGAATTCAACGACAACCATTGGCCGATTCTCCGAATCTGAGTGAAAATTCGAATCGAGAACAGATCTCAAGTACGAAGCGAGCCCAGATTATGTCCTCCAATGAATCAGACGATTCAGTCGGATTTCAGTCGGTAAGTGCGAAAACTGATTCCGCATCTGTTTCAAACTTGCATAGTTGCGTAAGCTAGATACTGTATTGTATATTTTTTGACTGTCACAGACGCAGAAACGAAGGCGTGTGGTGTTTAGCAGTGATGATGATGGTGATAACGAGTCTCGCACGAACAGGACTGAGTCCGCCGGTGATATTGTGCCTGACTCGGAACTAGTTGAATCGCAAATTGAAGAACTCAAGAAATCTTTTCCCCAAATTTCTGATTTGGTGAGTCGCGTTGAAAATTTCTTCATCTCGCAAGAATAGCTGAAGTTGAAGATGTCTTATTGAAAATACCGTTTTGAACGTCACCGTCTTCGGTGTATTTTGAGGTCGAAGAGGAAGTGGATGAATTGAGCCTCATGACCAAGAATCTGTATGATTATTCTGTGATCGCATTTCAGGATGTGCAGGATGCTTTGAAGGAGGCTGAATGGAACGTTGAAGATGCGGCTGTACGTCTCCGCCAGAAAGCAGCGCGCAACAACTCTTCAAAAAAGAATGATGTGAAGAAAAAGGGCCGTGTGAGGGTCAATTCCGAAGACAGTGATGATGATGGTCCGAATGGAGGCGATTTCGATGCCGAAGACGAAGATGACGGTTATCGCATGGAGTCTAGGAAAGTCTACGACAGGTAAGCAGATTGTGACCGGAGAATATTGGCAAGAAAAGCATTCAGCGAAGAGCACTCATGACCGATTCTCTAGACCAAGGCTCTTTTTTTTTTTATTTGGACACAACTGTTGTTTTGTCAAGCTTGGCATGATTTCGGAAGCTTTACTAATCAGGTACTTTTCACATGAGTGCTGCTCCTCAATTAATTTATATGAATCAGGCACGAGTGACCGAAATCTCGTTCATTGTTCGGAAAGTATTCCCGGTGTGAACGTGAATGGGAACGCGTCGATGTTCGTTTCGCACGATGCTTTTCTCCTTGTCAATTCTCTTCTGGTTGCTTCAATTCTAAAACGAACGAAATATTAAATTTTTCAATTGCAGCGACGATTCGGATGACGAGTCTTTGCTCGAAGACAGAGCTGACCGCAATGAAGTGGTTGAATTTCTCGAGATTGCCACGAAAGAAGAACTTTCTTGTATGATCGGTTCCTCTAGCAAGAAGGCTGATGTTATTATAGAAATGAGACCGTTAGCGAACTGGGCCGATTTAGTCCTCAAGATACGTAGCCACAAATCCGTCTCGTTGGACATTTTGAACTCTGTGAAAGATACGCTCAAAGTGCGCCGTGATGTTGCACGTCTCCTGTCGAAGTGTGAGAGAATTTCAGTGACTCTGCAAAGCGCTGTTGAAAGACTCATGAATAACTCCGAAGATGTCCCAAAATCGGAATCAAGGGACTTGTTCGGCCAACCTTCGCTTCTCAATCGCGAAATGAAGTTAACGCAGTACCAAATTTTAGGATTGAACTGGCTTAATTTAATGAGAAAGAACAAGCTGAACGGCATTCTCGCCGACGAAATGGGATTGGGGAAGACGATACAAGTCATCGCATTTGTCGCACTTATTCACGAGCAAGGGGATGTTGGCCCACATCTCATCATTGTTCCACCGTCAACTCTCGACAATTGGGTCCGTGAATTCGGTCTCTGGTGTCCGTCCCTGGAAATCTGTACATACGTTGGTTCTCAAATCGAGCGGAAGCAGCTGCGTATTTCATTGAACGAAATTCTCTCTGGGAAGTCGGATGACGCTTATCCGAATGTCATCATTACAACCTACAACACTGCCACAAGTACACCTGAAGATAAGGTTTTTGTCAAGCGGATGCCGTTTCACTATGTGATATTCGATGAAGCTCATATGCTGAAGAACTGCGCCACTCAACGCTTCGAGCATTTAATGCGTATCCAGGTGAGTAAGAATATCAGTGGTTTTTCAATTCATGTTGGACGAAATCGCAGAAAAGCCAGTGGACTACGGAGCAGATACTTGAGCTTGTAGATTAAAGTTTTTTTTTTTTGTCAACGTTGGTTTCTGTCAAAACGAGGCTTTCCATGAGGTGATATGCGAGAAATCTCTACGTAGGTTGAAAATAATCTTTCATACGTTTAAGAAAAGTTGTTGACGTAAGGGAATTGAATTTAACCCCTCAAACCTTGGCAGTTTTCCAGCGGGGTATAATTTTTGAAAACCTTGAATTTTTGTTTGTATGTCAGTTCAATTGCTAAGCGACTGAGGCCGCGTCGCCGTCGTGAAGAGTTGGTGAATTGTTGAAAGTTCATCGAAAGTAGTTGATGATTTGAGGGAATTGAATTTCACCTCTCCATTCTTGGAACATTTCCAGTGGGGTGTTCGTGCCGACCTAAAAATATTGTTTTGTTTTTGTTGGTACGTCGGTGAAATCGCCAATTCGTAATTTGGTTTGCGACTGCAGCCTGTTGTTTTCGTGAAGAGTTGGCGAATTTTTGGAAGCTTATCGAAGTTGTGATTGGTGTATAGTACTCGTGTACTAATTTTTATGTTTCAAGACAGAACTTTTTAAGAAACTGGACATTATTTGCATGAGATGATTTGTTTTTCTGTCGAAGGCAAAAAGAAGAATCCTATTGACCGGCACTCCGATGCAGAACAGTCTTAGGGAACTGATGTCGCTGTTGATATTTGTCATGCCGAACATGTTCGCATCGCATCGTACTCAGCTTCTAAAAACCTTCGCTCTCTATCCGGTTAGACACCAACATTTTTCCTGGCTCTTTTCATGCTTTTTAATCACGTTCACTTGTTTTAGAGAGGAGCTGACGGAACTGACGCAGACGAGAACCTGAACACCAGAAGCAATTACGAAAGAGAACGTATCCAACAAGCTCGTAGGATCATGAATCCCTTCATTCTGCGCCGTCTGAAGAAAGACGTTCTCCGCGATTTGCCACCGAAGTCTGAGGAAGTTATCCGCGCTCCGATGGACGCTCATCAACAAAAGCTTTATGATAAATTCCTTAAATCCGTGAGGGACGATGTTACCGCTGCCAAAGAAAACGGTACCTTGACTGGAGGCGGTGGAATAGCCATTATGATGCAGTTGAGGAAATTAGCGAATCATCCGCTGCTCATGCGATTTCACTATGATACCGCCAAGTTGCGTACACTGACGAAACTTCTACTGCGGGAACCCGTGAATGAGAGGTCCACGTTTGACGTGGTGCTGGAAGAGTTGTCGATGATGTCTGATTTTGAGATAAACTCGACGCTTAGAATGTATCCGGTTAGTGGAGTATTTTTTCTTTTTCATCGTTTATTTAAAATGAAAAAAGAGGAAGTACAAACAGCGATTGTGGAAAGAATAAATTACCAAAAACAATGAGTTTTCAGACTTTTCACTAAGATAATTCGACTCAATTCAACGGAACAGTCCCAACATTTTTCAATTAGCCGCCTGAAATTTCTTTAAAAAATATCTTTTTTCAGAATTTTAAAGAGCACTGTTTGCCGGACTCGCAGCTTTGTTCTTCGGGAAAATTGCAAGCTCTGGACCGAATCTTGCCTGGTTTGATTGAGCAAGGAACGAAGGCGCTGCTTTTCTCCCAGTTCGTAATCGTGTTGAATATCCTGGAGGCTTATATTAAAATCCGAGGCTACAGATACGTTAGGTTTGATGGCAGCACGCCACGTGAGGAACGGTGAGTTTTGTTTGCCTTGTTTTTTATGTAAATTAGTATTGCTTTTGGATTAATATCTCGATTTTCTGAAATGAACATTTTTCTTGCTGGTATTTCAGGCAAAGACTAATCGACGAATTCAACAATGATCCGAAGTTATTCATTTTTCTGTTGACGACGCGTTCCGGAGGACAGGGAATCAATTTGACTGGAGCCAACACTGTGATTCTTCACGATGTTGATTTCAATCCTCACAATGACAAACAGGCTGAGGATCGGTGTCATCGTGTTGGTCAAAAGAAGTAAGTCTCGTAGAAGATCCGTAAAATTTTCTCTGCTAAGGCAATTTTTCATTTACTCCAACAATCGGGAAAAGATTCTTCAGTTTTCAAATGATGGACCCTGAATTTTACCTCCGATTTTGATGTTCGGGTCAGATAATTGACTTGAAATCTTTCATAAAATTCGTTTTTATTTATTTATTTTTATTTTATTTAGGAATGTGGCTCTCGTTTCATTCAAAGAATTCTTCGTCTATATTTTTTAAATGGGTTGAGAATTTTCTTTTCTCTGTTCCGAGTGTTTTTGCTGTTACGGTTTATTATTTTATGAGGAAAAATATTTTTGTCAAGTAATGCTGTTGTAATGAATATTTTGAGTTAGTTATCAAGGGTTTTGTTACAGAAGAGCCATTCCTCATACAATAGCTTCATAGTGCTTAGTTGAGGCTCGAGAGAGATATGTATTTAGTGGTTTGGGACCAAGTTGACGTTTCATGTACAGTAGCTTTGAATTCGGATTTTTTGGTGAGACGAGTAATTCAGGTGATGACTGCTTTAATATTCTAAATGAGTTGAACTGACGAGAAGCGTTCTGGTACGGATTACGGTTCATTTTTTAGTTTATTTTCTGCGTATTTTCAGGCCTGTGAGAGTTATTCGCCTGATTAGCAAAGATACAATTGAGGAAGGAATGTATCGCTTGGCCCAAGAAAAGCTGAAGCTGGAAGAGGATCTCGGAGGTCGAACAGCTGCTGAAGAAGAGGGAGGCGAGGATGTGAAACCTGATTCCAAAGACGTTGTCCGACTTTTGCACGACTACTTGCGGATGGACGTGATTCCGAACGGAATGCCGAAGTGATGACGCTTGTTCATAGTGAAGATGTTATATTCGTCAGCCGAAAAACTCTCAGCAACTCCTTTTTTTTTTTTTTTTGAGTCCTTCCGAGGGAAAAACTTTCACTTCGATGTTTGAAGCTGTGATTCGTAAGAACCCTTAATGTTGGACATTTTTTCGGCGTTTTATGGAAACAAAACCCACTTTAATTCTTTGCGGAATCCGACTCGTGTGTGCGCTGGAGGAAATATAATTTTCTGCGATTTTTCTAATGCCTTTTCTCCAAAAGGAATTTTTTTTGCTTTTATGCAAAAGTGAGATTTTTCAAAGTAATTGCGGTTTTCACCAGGATTTGTCATGGAAATGTGGAATTCTTCATTCATTGAGACGTGGTTGGAGACGACGGTTGCCCAAGTGTGCGCCAAAGTGCTTATGCGGCGCTGCTCAACGCGCTGACACCAAATGAAGAAGCTTGACGACCTTTCTGAGTGCCGCAAAAGCCTTAAACTCAGCTTCTATAAAAACACGAACGAGAACCATTAAAAACCAAATACCTTTTTGCTGATGTGTGCCTGGCGGTCCTACGGAGACAAGATTTCCAAGCGATTCGTGCACCCGGCTTCGTTCAAGGACCACGATTTGATTTCGCGTGGAGCGCAGGACTTGAAGTTGCCTTGCGAACACACGCCGAGACTGTGATCAAAGGTCGGCTGAAGAATTATTTTTTCAGATCATTGAAATTTAAAATGACACTATATCTTGGGATTTAGCAAAACTCCGATTATTTGCACTATGACGCGAGTGTCTTTCCTTATAAAAATTTGGGAAGTCGCTTATTGCTAATTGTAGCTTACTACTCTACAGGTTGATATTTTTGTACTGTATTTTCTTTGACAATTTTATCAATAACTAATTTTTTTCGATCTGATCGAGAAAGTTTTATTCCCTATTGTTTTGTTTGAGGTAATTTAAAAAAAATGGTACATTTTTTCTACAATGAAAACTTGGTTTTCTGGCATTCAGATTTCAAATAGCCATCTTTTCTATGTACAGTTGAACCTCTTCGTCAAACTCAAAAGGGAGCAGAAAGCAAATTTGACAGTGATTTGTAGAGTTCAGAAAACTTAGCATTTTGCCCGGGGGAAAAAGGAAGAATTGGATGAAGTTCAATTGGTGACCTTCAGGGCCTTAAACTGAAGGTAGTTCACTCCATGTGGAATTTCAAGGCAAGGCATAATGCTTCATAAGTCACTCACTCTTGAAATGCATGAAGTTAATTTTTTGCTTTTCTCTTTCCTAGGTTACTAGCCCAAATCCCTCCAGAAATTTCAACCTGTGGAGGTTTGACGGGGAAGTATTCAAGATGATGAAATGTTCTGAAGAGAATTCATACCTGGAATAAAAAAAATTGACATAGGGAGGTTTTTGACTTTGGGAGCTTCGAGTTATCAAGATTCAACTGTAAAAAGAAATTCCACCGCACCATGTGAAATGCTTTCAAGTTGGCTTTTATGTAGTCTGATTTCAGATTTACAGCATTCATAGATTTGTTGCAATGTGAATTACATTAGGTTTCACGAATACGCCGCGACGAGTTGCGCGACTGTGGTTTACTTCTTCGAACTGCTGGAAAGACTCACGGCGTTTTCGGAATTTGAGTCGAAGATATTTTTGTGCTTGCTCTTGGTAATTTTTGGGAATACCTTTTTGCTGATGTGTGCCTGGCGGTCCTACGGAGACAAGATTTCCAAGCGATTCGTGCACCCGGCTTCGTTCAAGGACCACGATTTGATTTCCCGTGGAGCGCAGGACTTGAAGTTGCCTTGCGAACACACGCCGAGACTGTGATCAAAGGTCGGCTGAAGAATTATTTTTTCAGATTATTGAAATAGAAAATGACACTATATCTTGGGATTTAGCAAAACTCCGATTATTTGCACTATGACGCGAGTGTCTTTCCTTAAAAAAATTTGGGAAGTCGCTTATTGCTAATTGTAGCTTACTACTCCACAGGTTGATATATTTGGACTGTATTTTCTTTGACAATTTTATCAATAACTAATTATTTTCGATCTGTTCGAGAAAGTTTTATTCCCTATTGTTTTGTTTGAGGTAATTTAAAAAAAAATGGTACATTTTTTCTACAATGAAAACTTGGTTTTCTGGCATTCAGATTTCAAATAGCCATCTTTTCTATGTACAGTTGAACCTCTTCGTCAAACTCAAAAGGGAGCTGAAAGCAAATTTGACAGTGATTTGTAGAGTTCAGAAAACTTAGCATTTTGCTCGGGGGAAAAAGGAAGAATTGGATGAAGTTCAATTGGTGACCTTCAGGGCCTTAAACTGAAGGTAGTTCACTCTATGTGGAATTTCAAGGCAAGGCATAATGCTTCATAAGTCACTCACTCTTGAAATGCATCAAGTTAATTTTTTGCTTTTCTCTTTCCTAGTTTACTAGCCCAAATCCTTCAGAAATTTCAACCTGTGGCGGTTTGACGGGGAAGTATTCAAGATGATGAAATGTTCTGAAGAGAATTCATACCTGGACTAAAAAAAATTGACATAGGGAGGTTTTTGACGTTTTTGACTTTGGGAGCTTTGAGTTATCAAGATTCAACTGTAAAAAGAAATTCCACCGCACCATGTGAAATGCTTTCAAGTTGGCTTTTATGTAGTCTGATTTCAGATTTACAGCATTCATAGATTTGTTGCAATGTGAATTACATTTTCTCCTTCAGCAAATTTCTCAGAATGGTGGAATTTTTTGAAAATATTGTTCGGAGACAGGTCTAAATATTCTGGGCCACTCTGGATGACCTGATTAATGAAATTACAGTACAGTATAGACATCCGTCCAATTAAATGTATCCTGATATAAACAAAAAAAAATATTTTTTTAGGATTGCTTGCTTGAGTCTAATAGTGACATGATTCTTTTCACAGGAGGATGAAATTGGCTAGAGTGGAGGAGTATCTTCCCTATGAGGAATTTTGGAACAGATTCCTGGTTCCCGGTGTGCCATGCATTCTTAGCTCCTCGTTTACAGACGGCTGGAAAGCCCGAAAAACCTGGGTCAAAGACGGTCGCCCTGACATTGTCCACTTGCGAGATAAATATGGATCCTGTTTAGTTCCAGTCGCTGACCTGACATCACAGTATTTCGACGCGCATTGCAAGCTCGACATGACTTTCGGGAATTACCTGGACGCTTTAGAAAATCGAAAAATGCTGTATTTGAAGGATTGGCATTTTACCAAAGATTTTCCGGGCGAGAACGTGTACTCGGTTCCGGATTATTTCAAATCGGATTGGTTGAACGAGTATTGGGAGAAGGAGTTGAAGTGCGAAGACAATTACAAATTTGTTTACTTTGGACCCAGCGGTTCTTGGACTCCTTTGCACGCAGATGTGTTCAGGTCTTTCAGTTGGTCAGCCAATGTTTGTGGCAAGAAGAAATGGCTGTTGCTGGTTCCCGGTGAAGAAGAAAAGCTTGATGAATCGCAAAAGCATTCAGTCGATGAAAAAATGCTGGAGAAAGTTGACGTTTCCTACCAAGTTGTGATACAGGTACGAATTGTTTGTGAAGGTCGTGTGCATGTCAGTTTTTAGGATCGAACAGATAATGTTTCTACTCAAAGGTCGTCAAACCATCGGTTAAATGTATGTTTTATCGAAAAGAAGTGTCTTATTTTAAAATTTCGGTAGGGTGTCTGAATATTTGCTGTTGCAAGTCGGATGCATCTACGCTGCTTTTTTCATAGCTTTGATCAGTAGTTGGTAGATGTCGCTGGGACGTTAATCTTCATTGAAGAGTTAAACCAACTTTCTCAGGCCTTTGAATTTTTGGCGAGGACTAGTGTATAACTGAAAAATATTTTCTTTCATAGCTATGAATGAACGCATTTTAATCGTGTAAGAATACAAATCGAAACTTAATGTGGAAGGGAGTTTTTGTTGTCATTCCAAATTGATGGGTTGCAGATTTTTTTGAATGGATGAGGATCATGCTGATACATTAAGGAATAAGCCAGATCTTTTAAAGATACTTTTTCTGACAGAGTTCAAGATATTGACAGAAACAACAGAATTTAAACATCGTATTTCTTCCTCGTATGTTCATTCGGAAATATGATAATGAAAATGTACTTCACTTCCAGGAAGTCGGAGAAGTGATATTCGTGCCCTCCAATTGGCACCATGTGGTGTGGAACCTCGAGGATACCATCTCCATAAACCAAAACTGGTTCAACGCATCTAACATCCATCACGTCTTTGATGCTTTGCGAAACGAACTCAAGCGTGTTGAAAATGAGCTAGAAGATTGCCGGGGTTCTGAGGATTGGCCGGAAAGTTGTCAAAGATTGCTCAAAGCCTTGTTTGGTATGGATTTTTGTGATTTTTACAAACTGTTGAAGTTCATCGGAGACGAGCGATCGAGAGGGCATGGACCGTTAAGTGACCTCGATTGCGTCATCGACACACTGGAAAGATTCCAGTGTGATTTGTCAGATTTTGGTGGAATTATGGGTGATGTTACGGAGTGCATTGAAAAGTTTCGGACAGTTTTAAGGCGTTGAAATGTGTTAACGCGGAAATGTTTGATCCTTTTTGGCTAACTTCGTGTGCGTATTTAATATCGTAGGATTCGATTTCTGCCTTGGATCAACATGCTGATTCTGGCAGAACGCGCTTCTTCATTTCTGGAAAGTCGAAGAGGTCGCATGAATCATAAGTTCAGGTTTATGCAATTAATGTGCTCATATTCAACAATAAATGCACTAAGCTTATCAGTCCCATACAGTATTTGATCATCTACATCCTGGATGAACGAAGCAGTTTTGTTCGATAACAATTGAATGCCAATTACCCGCATTTAAATGCCAATTTTGCACTTTCGTGTAGTTCAGAATGCGTGTCCTCAGTATTTATAGATTTAAAACATTCAAAGTTGAATTCGAACGAATTTGATTCATCGTGTTGCATAAAATATTCAAATCCACAAATATCCCGATTGAGAATATCTCTTAATCATTCTGTTCGGAAGACGAAGCCGATTCTCCTCATTTTTTTTATCATTGAACGATGATGAGCAGATAGTGAACATGCACTTCGTATATAACTGTGTATATTTTTAATTATAGCTTATGAGTTGAGTCCAAGTAATACTTTAACATTGTGATAGAACTCGATTTTGAGTAGATCAAACTTTTGGGTAGCAAATATGAACAAAAATAACGTTGAGTAGCCTAATTTTGATGAAGAAATTTTCCAGCGACACCTATGCGACGTGAAAGTAAATGGAAGACGCGCGGGACATCAAGCGTGTGTGTGAACTGGACCCGGAAAAAAAAGTGAAAATCGTGTTTTCTGGGTTCTAGTCTTACCATCAATCTCGTTGTTTTAATGAACTTTTTTTCTGTTTCAGAGTTCAGAATGTCCACCGGTGACACGGTGAAAGTGTTGGTGCAGTACGTTATCGTACGCGGTGACTTGGTTAGTGCTTTAAAGTGGCCGTGGGGAGCTGTGATAGCCCAAGCGTGTCATGCCGTTACGGCTGTAAATACTCTCTTTTCGGAGGACGATGAGACGAAAAAGTATTTGGAGGACATGGATCGGATGCACAAAGTTGTTCTTGAGGTTTCGAACGATTCTACTGTATTATTCTTGCAAACTTAGTAAAACATTAAAAACAAAAATTCTAAAATTAATTGAACCTACGAATCGCTGTGGTGTCAGATCTTGAATGTGTTAATGAGTTTCAACAGGCTTGTATTTTCCCTCTTCGAAAGTCATGTTGGATGGAGATTAACTTAAATGAAGAGAAAATTTGCATGCGTCGCGCATCTTTCTATCCCCATAGTTTGGCAAGAACCAAGTTTTGAAATGCTTCTTTTTGCAGAAGTCTCGCTTCTAAAACCATGGAGCCCGTTTTGCACCGGGCCACTTGGGGCTTGAGTCACTTGCCGTTTGCTATTCTATTGTTTGCTTTCCCACGTTTCCATAGATTAAAGGAGGGAACTAGAAACTACTGAATAAATATCATTTACCTGCCTCTCTTGCATGTTTAGATGCATTTTTAGGAATTATTAGGTTTTATCAAGTGTAGAAACCGTCTCTATGAACAAATCCCAGATTGGCACAACTTTTCCAGTGTTCAACAATTTTATATTGGCTATTTTCGTTCGGTTAATGAAGCTGAATGCATAAATTACTTAGAATAACCATTGGTGAGCAATAAGTTGCTCAGTCGGTAGCATGGTTATGGCAGACAATTGAAGGAAATTCCCAGCATATGAACCAAGGATTGATCAGTCTTTCTGACGGATTTTTTTTTTCTCTAGAACTTGGGTGCTCAAATAATGTGAAGTTCAAAGGTGCAGTTCTGGAAAAAACGTCTGTGAAGTGTAATAATCTTCATGTCCTTTGCGGACCCAGCCTTTTTCTGAGAATTATAATGAAGAAATCAACGGAAAATATTCGGGAGATCGAGAGATGATATTCTTGGCATTTTATCGAATTGTGTAATTTTTCTCGGGAACAGTATTTCTGATTCATAGATTTTTGTCTTAATTTTGCGAACAGGTAAAAGACGAAAAAAGCCTGACTGATTTGGCGGAGAAGCTGTCTGAGAACCATGTGAAGCACAAATTGTGGATTGAGCAGCCCGAAAACATCCCGACGAGCATCGCGACTCGTCCTTATTTTAAGGATGAAGTGCAGGCACATTTTAAAAAGCTAAAATTGTTCAAGGGAACGTGATTCAACAGAGTGATGTGAATTCAGAGCGAGGTTCGAATTATTTTTTACCGGATGATTTATGCTCAGCTTTTTGTTGCCAAATTGATCTGGATGTTGCGCATTATGTTTGATGACCGGAGATATGAAGTGAGCTAAAAAGAAGTGGGACCGTATGAAGAATCGAAATCCGTTTTTGTCATGCACTTCTTTCAAATTCTTGTCCAAGAGGATTTGGTCAATTCTGACCATTGTTAAAATTTTGCACATATTGAAATTACAAGAGTATGTCTTTGCGGATGAACCTTATCACTTCGAAGATGTTAAGTTCACCTGCCACTAAGGGATACTAAATGTTTTAATCGGTAGTCGAATGTCTAACGAATATTTCAACTGAATTGAAATGTTTTAATGAACAAGATAATCCTAGACGTGGCAGTATGAACATTTTTTTTCAAAAAATCCAAGGGCAAAATTTTTGCGATTTCTGAACTTTTTTGTAGATGATTGAATCCAACGAATGCCTCGCAATTCTTAAGTTTTGTTGAGTGCATATTGCTTGAAATTTCTATCATGTTGGTGCGTTTTTTGTTACTCTCCGCGTTTTTTGTGGGAGGACCCACTGTACTGAGTTATTTTTTGACGAGCGCGTGTATTTTTTCTGGTGTACAGTTTTACAGGAGGTGTAGAAAAAAATAAAACATGCCGTCGACGCTGAGTAAAATGGAAGAAAGTGCGGGGAACGCTATGAGCTCTGTTCGGGAAACGTTGGATGATAAAGTGACGCTTCGGGCGGTTCGGGACAAGTTCCCCAGCTTGTTGCCTGTCGACTACATGAACCGTGACTACGCCTTTGTCATTCTCACCGGATGTGCTTCCGCATTGCTGATGCATTGGCTGTCGATTGAAGTTGGACGTGCCAGGAAACGGTACAAGGTTCCCTATCCGATCGCCTACTCTGATACTTCTGAGGTCTTCAATTGCTACCAACGAGCGCATCAGAACACGTGAGTTGGTTTTTTTTTATTCTCATTCGATGACCTTCATATGGTTAAGTTGTGCTTATGGACTCAATGCTTGATGGGATATTTTGCTGTACAGTACAGTACTGAGTTGGCCTCGTGCTTCGGATTGTGGCCTGTCATACACTTTCGAAAAGCGAAGATTCTACAGAAAATGTATGTCAGCATTGGAGTTCTTGATATTGCTGTTTANACCTTCATATGGTTAAGTTGTGCTTATGGACTCAATGCTTGATGGGATATTTTGCTGTACAGTACAGTACTGAGTTGGCCTCGTGCTTCGGATTGTGGCCTGTCATACACTTTCGAAAAGCGAAGATTCTACAGAAAATGTATGTCAGCATTGGAGTTCTTGATATTGCTGTTTAGGTTGGGCATTGTTTTCCTTGTTTTTTGTGTCTGTTCTTGTGCTGAAATTTTATGACTACAGTAATTTATTCAAGAATTGATTCAGAAAACTCATGAATGCAGTGGATACTATAACTGAAGATTTATTTTTTATTGTGTGATTTTGACTTATTTTGTTATTTTCAGTCTGGAGCAATATCCGAGTTTCCTCTTTACTTTGGGTGTCGGTGGATTGTGTTACCCAAGGTTTGTATCCGCTGCAGGAGCTGGTTGGATTTTCGGACGAATCCTGTATGCGAAGGGTTACCATTCGGGAGGTTAGTGATATACCGTATTTCGTTTCTCCTGCGAGATTTTTTCTTACCAGGATGATGAGGTACCAAATTACACGAATGTATGACACATTTTTTCCTATTACAGTACTGTATTACGAATAACCACGTTTTATTTCGGGATTTGCTGAATTTGTAGATGAAAGTCTAAGATGTGGTCCAGAAATGTGCACTAATTAAAATGAGGAATATTCATTTGACTTTTTTGAAAATCTCTGCATCAATGAGGTCCGGTTTTAAGCATATTAACTAAATTTTTTTGATCAACGGTGCTGAACAATTGAGATGTACTGTATTTAGAATGAATATTGTAAATAGTTGATATTATTCTCGAGACGCGTGGAAAGAAAAATTTTTCAAATGGTTGTATCGTTAATTTTGATGCAAGCTTTGTTGCTTTAAAAATAGAATTGCGGTCATTCTTGAAAGATTTTTTTGAATGTAGTACTGGTATTAACTCTTGTGTCTGTAGAAAATTCCTTTCGGGTACTCATTGAATTCCTTCGTGAAAAAGCTGCTTTTTGTTTTGTTTCGCAGAGCCGAAGAATAGGATCCCTGGTTTCGTCGTGTCCATTGTAAGTTCCACGCTGATCCTGGGCGCGGCTGTGGCAACCGGACATTGCATGTTGAGGCTGTACAAGTAATCCACGGATGCATTTCAATAGGATATTCGTTATGGTTGAATTCGTCGGTCGTGACCACCGGTGTAGGCAAAACTTCTTCTTCCTTGATTTCAAGGGCGCTTCAGTCTGTGAATTCGGTGGCAATTGAACTTATTGTGAATTTTTATTGCTTAAATGTGGGCATTTGGCTGTTTGTGGGGCCTTTTGGGCAGTTGTCCCCCTAGTTGTGAACGAACGAACAATGGGATTATTTGTTGAAGGAGTTTCCGTCGATTTGAGTTCGCAAATGGGGATCTTTCCTTGTTGGACCTGTCGTTTATTGCTTTGTCTGTCTTGTCAGTCAACTTTCATGTGAGTTGAGTGTTCCGATAGGCTGGGGATTATTATTAGGGTATAAGATCAGGTTTGATATTCCTTGGGTGTTGAGGATAACGTCACCCTTGAGCAGCAGAGATGGGACACTTTTACAGAAGCATGAAAAATGTGGTCGATTCCAGCTAAAGTTCAAAAATATTTTGACTTTTGTGGCTCCAAAACTTTTTGCTTCAATTGAAAAAAACTGAAATCCATTAAATTTTTTTTTCCAGATTTTCACTCTTCACGTGCTGGAGTTTCAGTTACCTTATGTCAAACAAAACTTATTCATCAGGCAAAAAATGCTTTTAAAAGAAAATTACTGTAGGTTAAACCAGTTTGGAACTTGTTCAGGTCCAGTGTCGTTGTCGTGGTTACAGTGACAGCGTAGGGGAAAATATTGAAAGGTACACGGACAGCAGAAAACAAGGAAGGATCCTGGTCCCAATTTTCGGAGAGTTTGATCTGAATGCTGTGAAAAAAAATTACGTAGTGGAGAACACTCGAGCATAATTCATCTTTTCGTTTTCTTATCCAGGAGCAAATTTCGTGCGTTGTAGTCT